GTAGTCCGTAGCATGTTCACAGAGGACAGAAGGGTTCTGATAGGGAAACACCGAAAGGATCTATGATGGAAATCATGGACCTTAGCCTTTCTAGGTTCTCTGATGAACAATTTCTTGGATTCGCTATCTTGAAAGGCCTTCTTGGAACTTTGTACCGGTTAGTTTTGCTGTTTATGTAATGCGCATAGTGAGGCCGAAAAAAATCTTTCGGGTGACGAAACAACGTCATTGTAATGCTCAGAAAGTTAGTTTTATAGAAAAAACATGTGTTGCACAGGCTGGCCAACACAGTTCAAAATATTTGGTACCTCACGAACAGCATATTAAAGAACGGAGTTTTTAAACCTCGAGACCATGGTAGTCGTTTTGAAGAAAAACTGAGAAGGAATGCCACAAGACTATTTGCACAAGGCCATAACAAGCAGGTCCTTAAATGTGCTCGAAGTTATAAAATGCAGAGGTAACAAGACAACTTACTCAGCAATACGCGACATGCTCACCCTGCGTGCTTACCACAAAGATTTCAGGACTGCAACCTAGTATAGATTTATGATGATTACTCGGTTCAGTTTGTGCCCAGCGGACGGAGAACTACTTTGGATGATTGTGTAGTACCGTGAGATGTTAAATTCCAGCGAATGGTGAAAAGATCAGTGGATTACCAAAAAAGAAGGCATAGAGTTAACATCATAGTAATTAAAAATATTGCACAATGGTTAAGAGCATAAAACCGTGATTGTCACGGGCTCAACACTGCAGCTAATTGTGGTTTGATTAAACAGACAAGGTCATCTATCCACTTTGTTTTCACAAGGTGTTTCGCAAAAGATGTATTATGTCATGGAATTTGTGAAATAATTTGGAATATGTTAAGTCATCTGTTACGATGATTCACGGTTTGTCCTACCTGTTGGTTCGCCCTGGTTATAAAATGGCAATTCTGTTGGTGCCATTTGTCAGGCCATTTGGTTGCCCCACATATTAGTACGTTCGTGCGTTATCCTCCATGTCTTTTCTTATCTTCATGACATTCGTCACATCTTTTATTATTTGTTTGCTGTATCATATTTACAAACCACTAGCCACTCCAATGCAACGGATCTTCGACCGTAGAGTACTTTCAAAAAGATCACCAGAAGGAGTTACTTTATCTGCATAAAAAGCGACAGTCGAATTGACCCCACTAACTACCGACCTGTAACCCACATTCCAGTGTTGTCTACATTCATGCATTCAACTGTAGCAGACTGCCTGTAGGAACACTGAGGAAGAAACAACATTCTGTTGCGAACGCAACAGACAAAAGCGACCATGTTTAAACGACTTCCTGTTGGTTCACCATGAATGGACCAGAACAGTCAAAGGGAACACGGTGGGTGTACCCTGCCTGACATTCACGAAACCATCATATCGGGTGAACCACCTGATGTTCTTGCAGAAGCTTCACAGATCCGAGGTGTAGGGCTTGATTAAACTAAAACATTCCTCTGACAAAACACAATGCCAGTTCGTCTTTCTGATTTCGTGTTCGGTTCTACCAACGTTCCCTACGGGATTCCGCGAGGTTCTATACTTGGTCCTCGACTATTCTTCATATTCATAAATTATCTGTCCAATGTTCTAAGGCGAAAAACGTGGATCACCTCACATCCCAACACTACTAAAAAGCAAAGTAATTGAAGGCTAAACTACCTGTTGTTTCCATACGCTGAATATTATGTGACGTCCCGTTTATTTTGCAGGGAAGCGATTAAATTGTGTAAATATCCGATGTGGCAGGGGAAGCATGAGCTTGTAAAAATTTCCCGTAAGGAACTTTGATTTTTACCATTGCTGTCTTTGTTGACATTCCCTCTCTTACATTCTGCCTATTCATGTTGTATTACTACAATTCATCGCGTTTTGCGTTAATTTTATAATTAACAATATATAAACAGTTGATCATCAGTTGCCTGTCTATATTTTTACTGCCCACTGCTCATTGGCGAAGAATAATCGATCCAAGAGATTAAGTTTGCTGCCGTCCATGGACTGTAAATTGCGATTTGATTGCGTTTGATGGTGTAGCCCAACATACTGTAGAATCTTAACTCGTGAGGTTTCCACCCTAACTATTTACGTGCAACCCAAATTACAGGCAAGACACAATTATGATCAACTGAGTGTTGCGAATTGTTTCGGTTGGACAGTTTAAAACTGTCTATGATACATTTCAACTTTTGAAGCTCCTGGTGGTCGCCTTCAGAAAGCCTTATGAATATTCAGTGTTGTATTTCGTTTTCATTAAGTGCTATTTTTATTATTAATGTTGTTGTTGTTGTTGCTGAGAAATAAATATCTCAGATCGGAATACACTGCGCTATCACAAGCCGCAGTTTTTAAGCTGCGAGATTACGTTTCCGTAGGCAGATTTAGTAGATGATAACGTTATGTGCGGGCTAGCCCATTGGATTCACGCAGGCATCAGGCCCTATGTTTGATCATGCAAATGAAAACGGGTAAGAAAAAACAATTTGGATGCATGTCATACTACTAGTATATCCTTTGTCTTTAAAATTCTTTTATTCGTTTTTATGACGTTCAGCTGATTTTATGCCTTGATTTAGTATGCAACTAAAACAGAACTCTAGCAGCGTATCGTTATCCAATGAAATACCGCTTTTATTCAAATCACATATTACAAATATTTGCCAGAAATCCCGCTAACAAAAGATAGGACATTTTCTTCACAATGATGGGTTGTGTTTTTGGATTCATCACACTGTTCCTGGGAACGGTGAACCGCACGGCGAATTTGCTTACATAATTCGAGCATAGTTCCTCGGTCATACATGTACGGGCATTGGCTCATATGCAGTCCATTGCAATGCGAGACCAACAGATCAATCACACGGACCTGATTTTGCAAATGCTCGTGCTCAACTAGCTCGAATCCGGCAATGTCACTCTTATTTTGCATCAACTGGTGCAGTTTGCGCCATTGTTGTTCCAATTTACGCTCCGTGTCCACAGCCAATTGGACGAGGGAATTGAGTCCGCTCTTCCAGAATTCATTCACATCGAACAGTGGTCGAACCTGACCAAGACAGGCTTTTCCACCGCGCATGGTTTGCCAGCGGATCCAATATTGAGCAATGGATCGCGTCCGGAGACTGCATAGACGAAAGAATTTACAGAATCCGGGCATGTTCGTTTGTTCGCTAGCACAAATAGCGGCCAAATGATCGTATGTCAGACTGGCCGCTTGGTGCATTTGTATGACCTCATTCACAGCCTGTTCGCATTCTGGAGAGTAATTCATGCGTGCCGAGATCATGGTGTTGTTGGGTTGACAATCTGATATTCTCTTTCGAGCGGTCTGATAATCATCCCAAAACGATATGTAGCGCTTATATATGACTTTCTTACAGTGCCTTTCCCGGTCGAAATTGGCAGCACTAATAGTTTCGACTTTTAACAGATCGTAAATTTGCGTCGCTGACCCTAGAAGTTCTCACTTTCAGAGCACGTGGTTGCACGATTTCAGCTTGGTGTACGAAGCTAATTGACAGCTGAAAGTCTGATGGAATATCTCAGGCGGGTGAATTGCGTAATGACCTTTCGATCCACTGCTGGAGTCACTCATACGCCGTTTTAGTATTGTAATCCCAACAAACGATCACGTTTTGAATGATNTTGAATGATTGTTGAAGATCAATTCAATCTATCCATGTGACTGAAAGTAACTCGAGAATTGATCATGATGGTTGACAGCAAATGATGTCAGTGATGAAGCAGTTGTTGCAGCAAAGCCTAATTTTCACACAAAACCGTTCCCGTGTTGACCCAGCTAAGAGAAAACTGTCTCGTAAAAACCGATGAAGAATGAGTTACTTAGTTTAATGTTTGGGAAAACACCAACCAGCGTGTTTAGTTGCTCTCCAGGTCAACGGGCTGTACACTTAAGACCAATCTAGGGCAGTATTCTTACACACTTTCGATGATATTATTCAAGGTTTCAAGCAGTAAAAGTGTATCCAAGGCCTTTGGTTTGACTCGTTTTCATGAAATACGCAAAGAAACGAACTGTCTCGTTTTCGACAATGTTCTTTCGGTTGATGCATCAAAATCTGCATCACGTAAATGATTTACTGCAGATTGAGAAATTCAGATCTCAGTTTCATGATTGGATTTTGCCTAGACACTAATAATCACACAGATACTGAGTAGACGGTGGGAGGGGAGAATTTGTGTCAAATGTGATGATGATCAGGTAATATCGAGCACAGGAAAGAAAAATATGCAGGTGTACTTCGGTCGCTTCATCGGCGGCCAGTGTACGAATCCCAATCTCGTGAAAACGTTTGAGGGGTGTGGGTGCAGGAGAAGATGAGAATCCTTAGCCACATTAAACAAGTGGCTTAATTTGACGAGGCGTAAAGCATTCATTAATGCACTTGACCACTCCGATATTCAGTCATGTTTGTCGGTTGTCGTGGACTCGTGTAAATAAGCATTTACTCGGTCCACTAGGACACGCTGAATAAAAATAACAGCTTTAGATATTCATTAGGTATTGTTCTCCTGATCAAAAATGTCATATGGTTTTGAAACCAACTTGTTCGAATTTAATAACTTATTGTCCATCTTTTCTTGCTCCGTAGTGCTGCCAGATCTGGTCTATAATATGCAAATGGAGTGATGTTTAGAATACCAATAGTAGGCAAACGTAGGGAACACGTGCGTAGAGTATTGCCGTTATCCGTTTTCGCAGTTTACCGACTTCTTTATGTTGTCTTTGTGCATCGCGCTTTGTTTGGAGAACATTAGATGTTACTTACTCATCCAAAACCAGTAAATATGCATGGATGAGATCAATGCACTTTGTCCGCAGGACGTTGTATGTGTTGTGATTTCGTCTGGTTGTCATTGGCCACAGTTTACAGTCAAACATGGATTATTCTTTATGGTAATGTCGCTTTTTGAGGCAGTACGGTTGTGACCGGGATGTGCGGCTGTTGCTGCTACGACACACACTCACACACATGCACGCACAGACAGGTTAGTACATGAATGCACACGGTCTGAGTCACACCCGAAGTGGATGCTTGTTGACGCACCACAATGAGCGTGAGTGCATCAACATCAGATTCGTCCCCGCATGCGATGTGACAGATCCGAGATTCGTGAGAGTTTCATATAACGCGCATTGCCTGATTCGGTCGGCGGCACGGTGTTATGAATCAATGTCATTTGGTAGCGTAGATGACTGTGTCGTCGGCATTTACTACCCGTTTGCACGACACGTTCGATTTCGATACTATAGTTGTCAAACGCCAACCTTGCTGATAATCCACTAAAGTTTCGTTCCGGGTACACGATCATTACCATCCTCAACTACTCCGTTCAGCACAGAAGGCATTTTCCCACTAATTCATTCGCGTTGTGTTTTATTATCATCTCTTTATTTATTCAAAGCGAAGTGAAGAGAACAGACGATGAATATCATCAATGACATAGTGCTTCTTTTGATCCATTCGTGGTCATGCGGAATGAAATGTTGACTTCTTCTGTGAAACCAAGGTAGTTTCAAATGGAGGGATAGCTGTTGCATTTCAGTGAACCGAATGTTTCGGTTGTGGTAACCTAGGAGAGCTGCTAGAAAGGAATCATCAAACCAACAATCCCGAAAACCATTNCCACCTGATGATAGATAAATATGAACAAGACGGTACACCACCAAACTGGTCAGCAGCCGACCTGGTACTTGATTTATTGGAAGCAGATGCATAGTCTCGCTTTCGATGTGGAATAGTTTGTGCATACATATGGGTGATTATACAACCCTGGAGCAGTCCATCATTGACTAAGACAGTCTCCGTCGGAAGTGCTGGTGCGTTAGTTTGATTCTACATCCTTTTTTTATTACACGAACGTGAATACAGTAAAAGGGGTAAACCCCATGATCCGAAGATATACTGTAAGTGGGGAGGTATGGAGAACATTCAAGCTAGACCCAGCTTGTTGATTCTGCGTTTAAGAACATAGATGTTGTACGTTGGATGGAATACCGGAAAGAGTAGAGTGTTCCACAGTTGGGCTGTTCTTCGGAAAAAGGATGACTGAAAGTTAGAAGTGCGACACCTGGGGATAGTCACTTGAAATGGGTGTCTAGCCGCTTGTGAGCGGGATCAAGTGGGAGAGGGACAGATGTGGAAAGTTCATCAGAGCAAAATCCAAAGTTGTATCGATAGAACAAGGATAAAGAAGCAACTGCCCGACGGTGAGCTAGTAACTGCAAGTTGGATGTTGGGGACGGGTCGTTGATGAGACGGATGGCCTTAAATTGAACCCGATCAAGAAGAGATAATGAGGTAGACAAAGCTCCATCCCACACATGACTGCAGTATTCAAATGT